TACACCTTTATGAAGGGCAGCATATCAACACTGATTAAGTGTTGGTACACAAGCTGTAGGTCCACTATGCAGTGATATCTAAAAAAGAAAAAACACAATACCAGTCATTTAAAAGACAACAACCAGCTGTTACAAAAACAAGTTAAGGATAATTCCTCATTAAGACCTTCTGGATGCAGTGTGCTCATTGGTTTGTGTGACGAGAATAATGGTTTTGACCAAAACATTCACATTTTTATTAACAATTTTTTATATTTATCACTTGTCACACATACAATAAATGTACTTTCACAGCATCATTTGCTTCTCCATTCTGTCTGCGTATTTTAAGAGCTGAAGTGAGCAGTGTTTTCCAGTAGAAAGCTTATATAGTGTTTCAAACAGGACTGTGAATGCAACACAAAAACAGACTAGATAGAAAGAGATACAGACAGTCAGAGAGAGCAGAGATGAATCTGAAACAGGCAGGAATCGTATATAAACCTGATGCTAGGTTTTATGATACAAAACGGCAAGGTTGGAGAAAGGTAAAGGCTAAGACAAGAGGGGGGGAATCATTGAAAAAAGAAAGGAAGAAGCAGGCAGGGAGAGAAGAGTGAGAGCAGGAGGATGAGCAGAATCAGCAGGGTGATAAAAGCACCAGTAACCATTTTATGATGTCAAGGTGCAAAACTGATGTGATCAGGCCATTTGAAGGAGAAACTACAAACTTGAGTCTCAGCAGCTGAAACACTCAGAATGACAAACAGAGCTGTGTTTTCTCATGATGTTTTGTTTTCGGTCATGTTAGCAGCATGGCTACATGGAGGGCAACACTGATCAGTCCATCAGTGGACTAATATCAGACATTCACATTCCCCAAAGGATGAATGCTATGAACTTTCTCCTGTAGCTCCACCATGAGGGTAACCCTTTTTTCAATATGAGTCAAATGTGTCAGAAGCTGTTGATATCCCACTGTCAGCTAGGATTGGCTCCAACATTCCCACAACCCTATTCAGGAAGAAGCGGTATACATAATGGATGGATGGATGGATTATGGACATGCCAATAAAACAAACTTAAATCTGCATTTGAGGAAAAACAAAAACCTTGTTCCAGGTTTAAATCCTGCAAGTTACATCTTTCACTCCACCGACTGTCCGCTTGTTGTTTTAGGTCTGATTTTTCAGATTTTTTTTATGACAGAACAGCATCACTTTGATACACCAGTGTAGTTTCACTCCCTGGTTTCTTATTAGCTGAAGCTTTAATTTCCCTTTGATTTCCAGAAGTATATAAAGCCCTTAGAGAACTTCACAATGCAGTGATATTGACCAAAATCATTTTCTCTCCTGTTTCTGTCTTACTGAGTATGTATCAGTAGACTGAGACTTAATCAAACTGAAGACAGTGAATTAATTATGTTTTGAGGTACTCAGCCAGCAGTACTGATAACAGGAAGGAAGCAGCTCATCAGACCGAGTCTCATCTCAAATAGATTTAATTACATCTTTAATTACTCTGTGTGCGTGATTGTGTTTTCATAAGTGTGTCAGTGGTGCGTGAGGTCGACAGTTTTCTCTTTTTAACATCAGTTTTCAGGATTTCACAAAACATTTCAATGTAAAAAACAGATTTAACTCAGATTCAGAAACACTGAGAACCTCATTAATGTCAGGTCCGCTTGGTGCGACCTGCCTCTTTCTTTTTCCCTCTCCTCTCTCCCTTTTTGCGGGATCAACGCCTCAGCTGTGTCGCATCGGGTAAGTAGTGACTCGTGGGTCGGTGCGCACACCTGAGGCGTATTCCGGTGATTTGTTGGCTTCCTTATTTATACCTCTGGCAGACGCCCCGTCGTGGCCGGAGCATTGCGACATGTAGCTAATTATGTGGTTAGCAATACTTAAATACGTGCTTTGTCTTCCACGCTGCCAGTCTCTGTGCTGTGGATTGCTTTGTTTCCGTTGGTTCTTTTTTGTTCACCTGTCCGTTCTCATCCTCCTGCTATCCTAGTTCCTGTCGTTAGTTTGTGTGTTTACCGTCCTGGTCTCCTTAGTCATCACTGCCCTTCCCTTGTATGTATTATGGACCCTGTTATGTTTTTATTCCATTAAACCACCTTTTTTGTACTAGCACCTGGGTCAGCCATCTTGAGTCCAACCCCAATTCTCCCTCACCCTCCTGGTGAGGGGGACTAAACCATAACAATTAACAAGACTATTGATTAATGGATTGGACTCAAGATAAAAAAAAAAAAAACTGACTTGGAAGAGTCATTTTCATACACTGAAGTAATTTCCTGTGAATTATAATGCCTGTTAATAATGAGAGAAAAATTTATATTTTACCCAATAAAAGTGTGAGTCAAAACAAACTCCTCAACCTGACCTTATAAGTGATCAACTCTTAATCTGTATCGGTAATATTTTGGGGAAACTGGAGACACACAGCTGAGTTTACACTACAACTACACATGTTGTGTAGCCAGATATTTTTTTAATGCGATTAAACCACAAAGTCAATATTTGATTTAAATCTGAAATATATGATAATCTAGCAAGTTTAGCCGCCTCTGGCATGTAATATTTAAAGCTCAGCTGTATGCGCTGAATGAAGACTGCTCTATGTCTGCAGGGTGTGTAAATAAGTAACTGTTTGCTAACATGTTAGCAATATAAGCTTTATAGGTTCCGGGTTAAAACCCAGGCTAACCTGGTGTCTTTCTGTACAGAGTTTGCATGTTCTCCCTGTGCCTGTGTGGGTTTTCTCTGGGTACTCTGGCTTCCTCCTACAGCCTTTGGACATGCAGCTTAAGTTGAGTGGAGGCTCTAAATTGCCCCAGGAGTGCATGTGTATCTGGCCACAGGGGTTTCATGTCAGTGACTTCTATGCTGGTCTCAAGCCTGGATAAATAGAGAGGGTTGTGTCAGGAAGCGCATCTGATGTGCCAAACTTAATCATGTAAATCTGATTCACTGTGGTGACCCCTAACAGGAACAGACAAAAAACTAAATACAATAATGCTCATTTAGTATTTTATTAGAATCACATAGAGGAATGTAGAGGAAACATTTAGATGATGTACGGTGGCAAAATTGACAAATGCTTTGGTTAACTTGATAAATAAAATGTGATTTTTTTTTGAGAGTTTGTTTGGTAGATGTGCATTTTTCAAGTGGGTCTGGTTTTGTTGGGGGACTATGCACTCATGACCTCTGTTCACAAAATCCTGACATCAACCTTGCTTCTCTGAGTGTTTTCTTGTAAACAAATTAGAGTTTTTTGTTTCAGTCTTCATTTAGAACAGACTTGGATCTGTCCAAGGAGCAGCTGTGCACTATCAACATAGCAGTGAGCACATGGGCTGCACAGGAAGGCAGATTAACATATTGTGTCCTTGTTTGAGAAGCAAGGTCATCCCACTCAATACATCATATCATCCACCGCTGCTCTGTTCAACACTCCTGCTTGTTGTCCAGATGGCATTAACAGATGAAAACATCAGAGAACTTTCATTATTAACCACTTTCGCTGCATGAAACAGTGAATTAGAGGATACACCCAAATATTCACTTTCTTCTGGATTCTCAAATATTTCTATGAGCTACAGGATGTGCTGTCAAAAATAAACTCTGCTCTTATATGCATTTAGGATTAGGTGCCAGTGTTGAGAAAACTACTTTGAAAATGTAACATTTAAAACAGGGGTGGGCAATTCCAGTCCTCGAGGGCCGCTGTCCTGCTTGTTTTCCAACTATCCCTGCCTGACCTGCTGCTGATTACCTGGCTCAGGTGTGTTCAGCCAGTCAGAAGCTGGAAGATACCAATTCACTTTATCTTCCCTCACTCCACTTTCATCTAAGATGGTGTCTTCCAGCTTCTGACTGGCTGAACACACCTGAGCCAGGTAATCAGCAGCAGGTCAGGCAGGGATAGTTGGAAAACAAGCAGGACAGCGGCCCTCGAGGACTGGAATTGCCCACCCCTGATTTAAAATGATCAATTACTTCACACTGGAGGAAGTTAAACTTAGAAATTTAGGAAAAAGTTGTTCAAAATACTTTGCAAAAATCAATAAAACTGGCAATGTACATGTGACACAAAATTATAACATAAGAAAAGAAAACTCATGCCAGCAAAAAAAGCCACTCGGTCGAGTTAATTTACCTGAGACAAAAACAAAACAATCCTGGGCTTTTCACACTGATTTTATATATTTCTTGCAAAGCAACTTATGACTACCAGCTCTGATCTAACAAATACAAGCCTGCTGTGTCCGTTGTCTGTTTTTCAACATCAGACTTCTAAAACCATAAAAACTGAAACTGTCTTGAAGTTGTACCTTTTATATGTATGAACAGTTTGGACACTGGTCTGAATGGACCTGTCTTTTACTACTTCTTCTCAGAGCAGAATTTTTTATCTGGTATATGAGCAGTCTCTCGAAGTTCTTATCCAAAAGGCGGTTAAGGTTAGAGAAGAAATGATAAAATAAAAATTAAAAATCATTCTTTTCTTTTAATGGCCCGAAATTATTTGTAGTTGCAGTTAGATATCTACAAAAAAAAAAAAAAAAAGCAAACATGTAATTTAATTACTTCAGTCACTACACAGCTATGAATGTAGTTGAACTACCAGTAAGATACTGCAAAATTTAGTTAAACTACTGGTTGAATTACATATAGCTCACTACCTCCCAACACTGTTAGGTGTAAGCAGAGTTATCTATAGTAAAGCTGTACAAAGTTATTTTCAATGTTACCACCTCAGCCATGAACTGGTGTCCACCCTTCCTTTGGTTGCAGTTATCACACATCACGCTTTTTATTATGGGTGAATCATTCAAGCACTCCACTATTCCTGCCAATATATGTTTTCATTTTTGATGGAGAAATGACGTCACTTCATGGAGCTGTATACATATACTGTATATAGGCCATAGTTTTCCCCCTGGGTTTGATGAACAAGTGAGGAGAGTCAGGGACTAGCTGTGATGCCTAATGACCATCATTACTCACCTCTCTCCGATGCCGGGGCCAGATCAATGAAGCTCCGACACTTCTCACCTGAGAGAGGAGAGAAGGGAGATGGGGATGGAGGGGGGTGGGTAGAGAGGGATATAAGGAGAAAGAGGTAGGGAGAGGTGAAGGATTCAAGGTGAAATGAGCTGGGAATAAAGCAGATGGGGAGAATGAGAAAAAGGAGGGAGAGAGAATTAAGTATGAAGGTATTGTGGTAAAATAGGGGATGGAAAGGTGCAGAGGAGATGATTAATGAGAAGGAGAATAAGATGTGAGGATGAAAATGAATGCACAGAATGAAGAAAAGAAAAGAAAAACAGCATTAGTGTCAGTGTGTCAAACTGATTAAAAAATACAAGCTAATAATGGGTCAGGCTAATAAACAAAGACACAGTGACTCCTGAATGGCAGTCGGCTGTTGGTTCATTATCAGCACCTCATTTGGAATTGTCTTATGCCATAGAGTTTGTCATTATCTCCTTTACTAACATTATGTGACTTTAACATCTTTGTTCATGTTGCAAGAGGCTGCAAGAGGATTTTTGTTTGGCTAGCAATTAGCATTACTTGTAAAATTAAACAAATCAACATTTTGGGAAATTCACTTATTTTCTGTCTTCTGTCATTAGAGCTAGTTGAGAAAATTGATCAGTCTCACATCTGTGTGTTAAATACACAGCTTAAGTCAAAGCATTGTTAGCCTAGCTTAGCATAAGAACTGAAAACAGCTAGCCTGTCTCTGTCCAATGTAAAGAAATACACTTATCAGCACAGAATCTGGATTACCAACCACCAAAATGGGCAACAGCCCAGAAGTCTCAGACCCTTAAAAGCCCCGGCTTTGCTCTACATCACTTTGGTCTACATAGTTCGATTATTCACTCTATTCAAAATTCAGCCTTATTCAATCTATTTTTAAGGTTTAAATTGTTTTAGGTTCAACACTTGACATTTACAAGTTGTGGTTTGGCAAATTCCTTCCATTTTCCTGTGTCAGATAACACACAAAACATCAGGCAACAATTATTTTATCATAATCAGTTTCTCTGTGTATAGATTGTTATTGTTCCATTGGCATTTTGGCCTAAACTATCAATTACTGAAATTGTTGCCAATAAAATTTTTTAAATCAATCAAATAATTGATGAATTAAGATAACATTTTGGGTTCTGGGTTTCTGAAGAGATAATAACAGGGGCCCAGCAACAATTTTTTGCCATAATGCCCAAGCAAAAGTTAATCCAGCCATGACTGGCACCTTACTTCCATAAAGAACACAAACTGACATACTATTCCTCCACTGTCTCCATAATGTGTACAAAAACAGAAATGTAAACAAGACAACTTGGTTGAACTGTTTCTTGTCTTTAAGATGTTAGCTAAATGAGCTTTATTTGGCAAATCTCAGTGAGATCAAGAAGATCAAAAAAAGATATGTCATATATTCAAAACAGGGCTGGGAACATCAAGAACATATGCTCTTGTTGAATGCACACATTTCATTTTTATGGAGTTTGCAAAAAAAATCTTTAGATGACACAGAGTGGTCTGTGGGTCAACAGAAACAGTATCATCATTACTTTACAGTGACCATAACATAATGTATTTTAAATTCCTTATTGTCACTTTGAACTTGTATTATACACTCACACCTATAACATACTTGGCAGTTATATTTAAAAGTGAGCTAATTGTATTTTTCTCATGTGGTATTGGTACACATTCATTTAGGGAATATTTTGCATAGTGCAGTGTTCTCTTGGCTTCATTACAGTTATTTCTGGTGCATTCAGGCTGCAGAGAGTTGATCAATGCTCAGTGGGACCCTGCAGGTCACAGATCAGCTGCCATAACATGAGCCATAACTCAGCCGCTGCAGTGTCACAGGCAACAGGGAGAGCCATCCATAACCAGCCTGAACACCAGCGACCTATGCACTGAACCCCGACCCACCCCATCCTTAACAACAGATGAAGGTACACTCTGTTTGTCTCCCGGGTACTGAGGATAATTTTACTTCCAGAGGCTAAAATAGACTGAAGCTTAATCAGTGATGAAAACTACAGTGAAGTACAACTGATACTGTCACTCCTGATTACCTAACTTTATCTTCTCTATATGATGAGACATTTTTACACTAAAGCAGTTGTACTTATAATATATTATGTATGTAACTGAAGGCTATTTGACTTTAAACACTCCATGTCCCGTTCTGGGTCCATTGTCCGTACTACACACATATTAGCAGGAGGTTTCGAGAATATAGTAAGTCATGCACAGTAAAACTGTCAACACAAATATACCTGTTGTGTCCAGCTCCAGGAAGATATCAGAAAACAAACACTAAACAAATTTTTGGAAAAGATTTTTGCTTTTTCTTTGCATTCAATGCGCTTTGGCATTCCAAAATTCAGCCTTGATCATATTCCAGGACAAGGATCAGGACAAGGGCGCACACTTCTGTATATATTACAGTTGCGGGTATGTGTACACAGACGTGATGCACACTCAAAACATGACCGCACTAAGAAGAGTTCCTCTGCGTGTTGCATTTGGCTGAAGAACACAATTCAAAAAGAAAACTGTGTGCAACTACAATATGAGAACAGGACAGATGGGGGATATATGCTGGACGAAATAAGAATCTAGTGTGCTTGTGGTACAGACAGTCTGGGCAGTCACGCCTTTTGGGCTGCGCACAAAATTCTGCACATGGATCGGTGCAAACCATCACAGACTGAAAATGAAATTCCACACAGAAACCATGAATTGGTCATTACACTTTAGTTGAATTGAGATATTTTTATAATTTCTTTTACTACAAAGTGGTAAAGTAAAGTTTATATCACATGTTAGAGATGGGAAAGAATCCTGTGTGACTTGCACGTGGATAATAAATACACTCACTGGCCACTTTATTAGGTACACCTGTACAATTGTATACAATTCAATGCAACACTTCCACCTTAACATCTGTGTTAATGAAGCTCAAAATGTTTCAATTTTTGGCGAAATTGTAATAAATGTACAAAATTGAATTCTATGTTTATTATTGAGTTCATAGTTAAAGGCGGTGTTGTACTGGGCTACATTATATTCAGAGGTGTCTCTTTGTTTTTGTCCTCCTCAGCTACATTCATGAGACGGTCAGGACATTAGGAACATTCTTCTTGCTGTTTGCCAATTACACAAAACTTTATCCAAACTAAAATTTGAATAAAGTGATAATAACTGCAACTACAAGTTTGTCTATGACATCCCTTTTATAAATGCGGTTTGCGATTTGGCAAAAATCCAATTTGAGGAAGTTATAATTAATCTTTTCCAAGGTTAAAACTCAAGGGAAGCTTTGTGAACAAGTGGGAGAAACAGATAAATGTGTTCATGATTTTTTGAGTGGCAGTGAAACTGTGCCACAGTCGAAAGGTGAGTAGTGCTGCATCTGATTAGGACATAAATCTAAAATGCAATTAAAGAGTGAACGGGCTTGTCTGTGACCTGACGACAGGACTAACAGCACAATTAGTATTCTTACAAGTTCCTACTGCACACAGGAGATGATGCTCATCTAAAATGCCAATTAATCCAAAAACAAAAAAAAAGTTATCATGCTCTCACACTATCGGGTTGTAATGGAGCAGATTCATTTAAAAGAGGCTTGAAGAGGTTTCAAATGCCTCTTTTTGTATTTTTAAGTTGCATACCCCCAACTCTCACTTTCACACCATTATTCCCACTCCTTGCAGCCAGCAGCTCCGCACTCCATTTGATGAGTGATTCAGTCATTTGAGGCTTATTACAGCTGTGAGACAGCAGCTAATATAACATTAGTTCTACAGTCTTGTCTCTAGTAGGCATATCTAAACACAGGTACGTAATCCTGATTTTTACAATCCATAGTTAGTTATAAATAGCTTTGGAAGCACCTTTAATCATCTCCACTCACTTCTGCCTGCCATAGAAAAAAGCAATGACAAAGTAATTTTATTAGATCAGCAAACATCTACCACAGCTGTGATTACAGACAACCATTATGCACCACTTTGACTATTTATAGAGCACATATCATTAAGTCATCAGTGATTTAGTATAATGATCCTATTAAAAAAGTCTTTACAAAGCACTTCACAGTAAAGGATTCAAATAAAAGAATAATTTAAATAATTTACAAATTGCTATTTAGACTGAAAATCTGTCAGTCTGTGAATATGGCTCACAAGCCAGATAAGTAATGTTTTATTATTACACTACATTAGCTATTGGCCAAGAATGGACATTCACCAAAGTTGAACTCAGTACAAAAGCACTGCATGCACTTCTGCAAAGATTTAGATGCTACCAGCAAGTCTTACTTCTTCCTAATGTATGTTTACTGTACTCCAATTTTTTGTTTCACATAAAATCATTGCCACTGGTCCATGATAGAAATATTACATCTGTAATGTACACTGTTTCACACATCTATTCCTAAGGGTAAGGTAGACATTTTTCAGTTCTGTGATTCGTGTAATGTATCAATTTACTCAGGGAGGTTTATTTTCAGTTGAACTTCAGTAAACACATCATGGGCAGACCTACAGTACAGTACGGTCTCCGCTCAGTGAAGATTGAAATTTGTGCAGGTAACAGTAAACTGGAGTTGATTGACCTCTCTTTGCTGTTGCCACCCAATCTGTCCAGTATAGAGTTCTATAGCAGTGATTCGTAAACCCAGAACTGAGTTAGTATTGTTACACTTGAGGTTCCCTCACCCTGAAGTCAGTGGGTTTCTTTTGGTTAGATGCTTGAAATAAGGTCTGTGGTTAACACAAGGCCAATACATTTTCATGTTTTATTCTATACGTCAGTAAATACCCCACTCGTGATTTTTAATGCCTTTACGTGTCTTAAAAATGGTAGTGGCTAAATAAGACTACAGAGCCTGTCTGGGATATTACACTCCATCACGCCGACCCATCTACTCACTAGCCCACCTTTACAGCCTTGCTGTGTTTAAACTTGCACACTTGCAAGCTATTCTCACTGGCACAGCCACGATCACTAGC